GTAGAAATTGATGATGAAGAGGCTATTAAAGTAATAAAAGATATAGATGTAAATACGATAAGTGAAATGTCAAGAATTGATATTCTACAAATAAATTCATTGAAAGCAATAATAAATAAATTAGAAAAAGTTAATGAATGTAAAAAAGATAAAACATATTATAAATTTCCTGCCTTAAATTTATGTAGCTATTCCTTATTCTAAATTGATAATATTAACATACATTAATATTATTAATTACTATCATAATCTGTCATTTCACTTTCGGGTAATTTTGTTGAGGCGTTGCTACACATATCATCTATTAAATCTTCTTCATCAACAAAATTATTTTGAAATCTTAATAATTCCTCGTCTGTTGGTCGTCTTTTTAACACTTTATAAAGTTTATGTATCCAAGAGTTAGTATGAAAATTGTAATTACCTCTACGATAAAATCCACCACATCTACATAGTTTCATTAGCATATTATTATATTATATTAAATTAGAATATCTTTATTCATCATTTGTAATTTGAAATGCCTGTTCAAAACGGAGAAAAAACATGTCATTCACATTCTTAGCATTCATATTCACGTAGAAGAAACTATAAGGTGCGTCATTAACGGCTTGATGATACATATCTAATAATTGCTGTTTGTCAACAATGGCGCTATTTTCTTCAATAAAACTCATTAATTCACTGGCATTTTTCAACCTAAAAATATATAATGAACTGGCATTTAAACGAATGATAGGCGCCAACACATTATATTTCTGTGTTGAACAAATTACGCTTACTGCATCGTGCCTACCTCTTGTAAATAATCCATGTAATAATTTACTATATCTAACAAATTTAGGATCGTCGGCGTGATCGTCTATAACGATTAATATTGAATGTAGTTTCTTTATCTTTTTAGATTTCATATAATTAATTATTTTCTTCTGTCTTTCAATTACATTTTCTAAATCACTTGGATTATAATTATCAAAATAAATTTGTTCTTTTTCATCATCCACGTGCAATTCATCCCTGATATATTTTTTAACTTCTGTAAAGGTTGGGTCATTATGAACGCTGGGGGAAAATATAAATATTCTTGCAAATGAATTTCTATAAACATTTAAGATAAGGTTCTGAACCAATACTGTTTTTCCACCGGTCGAACTGGCAACTATAATACTTCTAAATGGTAATTTTGGCACGTGCTCATATTTAGATTGTTTGAATTCATATTCAGTTATGTTTATTGGCTTTATTATTGGAACATCTGACATATAGTTAATATTAAACATATTTAGAAAATAATTTAATATTGTTTATTGTATGAAAGCATTGCTATGATATGAATGGGGTCTATTGTAGTAGAACAGGCTCTTTCATCAACTTCAATCAATAAGCATTGAAAACTAATTAGTTTGATACATTTGTAAAGAAAACCCAATTGATGTGCCCTCCGAATATTCTAACATGCATGAATATAATAAGATTAAATAACTGTTTTATCTTATTATTAATATATATAAATAATGAAAAATCATTTTTATATTGCTTATCATGGAAATAAAAGAAATGAAGTTGAAGAAGTTTATAAATTAATTGATTTTAATATAATAGATACTATTATTGAGCCTTTTTGTGGAACGGCAGCTATATCCTATTATATATGGTTGAACCATCCAGATATTAAATTTATTCTTAATGATAATAATAAATATTTATTAGAAATGTTTGAAATTATGAATGATGAATCTAAATTAAATTCATTTAATGATAAATTAAAATATGGATTAGAAGAATTAAAAAAACATGGTAAAGATTATTATAGAAGTCTACGACTTAATAAAAATATAATTGAATGGTATATAAATAATAAGTACTATAGAATAAGACCTGGTCTATATCCATTAGATTCTGGAGGATTACGATCTAATTTTTCATTTTATGATATCAAAAGTAGTCCAATTTATAGTTTTTTTACAAAAGCTAATATTAAATTTACAAATATTGATGCTGTCGATGTATATAATGAATATAAAAATAATAAAAATACTATGATATTTTAGATCCGCCTTATATTAGTTCATGTAATAGTTTTTAAATTAATCCAACTATGAATATTTATGAATCACTTAGCAAAGATAATATTGAAAATATGAAAGCAAAAATAATATTTATATTAGAAAATAATTTTATTGTTAAAGAGTTATACAATAAATATTTAATTAGTGAATATAATAAACAGTATGAAATGACTAAAAAACAAGTCAAGCATGCTATATTTTCAAATTAATTTTTATCTTATTATTTAATATGAAAAGGAGTTATTCAGATTATATTGATATAATAGATGAAGTAGAGAATATAGAACAAGTTGTTATAACTGATAATAGATGCAAGAAAGTATGCTATTTTGTTTTAGAAATAATTAAGTTTGTGATACAATATATCAAAAATAAAAATGTAAATATTAATATAAATGGGAAGAAAGAAAAAGAATAAGACTGAACCAGTTGTTTCTTCAACTGATGAAGAAAAAGAAGAAGTTGTTAAAGAAACATCAGTTATTGAGTTTGCTTGTCCAATGTGTAAAAGAATATTAGAAATGAAAAATGAATTAGAAATACAAAAGAAAGGAAACTGTAAATGTTCGTGTATTCCAGCCAGTTTCAAAATAAGTAGAAATGACAAGAAAATGAATATTGATAAAACTAAAGACAGTATCAACTTAGAAACAGATGTTCATAATATTGCTATACGCTTTGGGAGGGGAGTTACTCCATCCGATAATGGTGATAAGGAAACTCAGGAAACTATTAAACAAATGATGAACAATTAGTATTTAAAGAGTAGATTTAACATAATTTAAACATTTAGTTTTAAAAGTTTTATTTTATAATATAATATATATATTTACATGGATGAAGGATTAGAAAAGATGGTTAAAAAACTGAACAAGGTTTTAGAACAGAATAAGAATATTTTAGAAATCTTACAAGAAATGGAAAAGAAGAAACCATTAACAAACAATTATCAAAGTAAAGAAGTAGATCGAACCGGTGGCGAATATAAACATAAAAGAACAATTTATTTAAACAAACTTAATAACAAAGAAATTAAAGAACCGAAGTCTTCCACTATGACATTTTATCAAATTGACTATGATGAAGATACAGGAATTTATTCTTGATTGAACACATTTTTCTCTGAAAATCCGTTTAAAGACATATTAGCATAACTAATATTATGAGTTCTACAGATGACGAAGAAGAAACAGGATACACAATGGTTTATCATTGCAGTAAATGCGACGAAGCAAAGCCAAGAAAGGATTTTCACAAAATGTATGATAGAATTAAAATGGAAGAGATATTTTACAAATCATGTAAGGAATGCAGAGACAAAGTAAAAGCAACAAAAGAGTTAAGGAAGGAACAGAAGAAACGAATACAACCCATGGAAATACATAGATTAAAGCCTTTAATACCATAGTTTTACTATACTTATAACATGTAAGATCTTATATGTTGTAATTATAAGCCGTGGTGGTGCTTTCCTACATAGGCCTTTCCCGATCCGCATATTGCCATCCATATTTTACTGGGATTGTTTTCAAGATTTGGGTTAACGGTTTTAATTCTCCCTTTTCCATTGGTTAACCACTTTTCGGGGCGAACATAGGGTTTCATTTTAGACTGTTCGTATTTGTTGGAAATGGGAAAGGGTGTCAAGTTGGATCAAGGGAGAAATTATTGAGATCTTGGGGTTGCGATCTTGGGAATGAAAAAATGTTGGTATGTAGCTTGGATTTTTTTGGTGGGATTTGTTGAGGTGGTATGTAGTTATGATTGTTGTTATTGAATGAGCATAGGGGTGATGTTGAGATGGGGTAAGAAATGAAGATGGGTATATGAATATGTGTTTTTTGGTGTTGGATTGGTTGGGTGATTGGATTTGAATGTTGAAAATAGGTTGTTTTAGTGGGCGTATTCAGAATGTGCCCAAAAGTGTGGGGGGGACCCTATGACTGGATGGCAAAATGCGGACGGGAAAGCCCCTGTCTAACTCTAAGGGGGTTCTACGTGGATTCGAAGGGTGTTCTAAGGTTTGGAGGGGTTCATGACTCGGCTTTTTCGTCATTCAGAGAGTTGGTTGCCCAACCACTGAGGTGTTTTTGTTGCAATGGAGATTCATGGCCATATTTGACTTCATTCAGTCAATTCCTTGCAGAATTGAAATGCGGACGTCCCCCTAACTCGGTTGCTCGCGCCCGAAGGAGCGAAAGCTCGCGGAGGATTTTTTTCGTTTGGAGCCCGGCACTTTCTGAGTGAAGTGAGAAATGTCAGACAAAAAAATCGGGGTACCTTCCATATCCATTCTGAACCCAGGGATCCGGATCTTTTCAGGAAACCATCAAAAACCCAGGGAAAGCGGCGGTTTGTTGAAAAGAACGAGGGTTGAAAAGAATGGAAAATTAATCAACCCCTAGAAACAAAAAAAAAAAACATACTTTGGTTTGCCACCCAGCTGGCTTCCCGCAAAAGTGCTCCAGGAGTCCAGAACATCAATGAGTGACTGCCATGCAGAGCCCAGTTCCTGTTCAAGACTTCGCTTTGCACAGCACTCGCCGCCAGAGTGGGGTCAGTCAACTGTGTTTAATCCGTTTAAGCTACTCTGATTTGAACAATATGATCTTGGAATCCATAAGATACCAGAGCTTGGTCGTTGAAACATATATATATATATATTATGCATATATAGATACACTTGAATGTATAAATATATACATACGTGCCCTTTGAACCCCCCCAACAATTGGGATTGTGTGTGTGTGTTCCTTTTCGGTTTACCTTTAAACCAAAGCCATGACCTTGTGCCTTGTACAGTTGCCCAAAGGACTGCCTTGACTAAATATGAACCACACCTGGAAAACCAAAAGGTGAACATGTTGATTTTGCTGGGGCAACTAGGCAGCCACTCACCCGTATTTTGCCAACTCTCATGATCCGAGTTGCTCAAATTCCACATCCTCTCGCAAGAGCGTGCTGAAGACCTCTTGGCGACGCGAGCCCTGCCTGCGTTTGACCTTTTGCCCCCAGGTAAGAAAGACATATTGTCCCGAAACTCACTTCCTGAGTGGACTGACCAAAAAGGCAAAACATTGTTGTTTCCGTACCATGGCCCTCCCTCTGGGCCCCCAAAATGATGGTGGTGCTCCCTACAAATCATTGAGGGTTCTTAAAATGTTTCGGGGGGCATCCTCACCGCCATGTTTTGAAAGTCATTTTGAGGCACTGTGATGGACAGAGGCAACAAGGAGAAAGATGAGAACGCCTCCCGGCAGGTTCGAAGTCCAGGGTCTGTATTTCTCGTGGGTGCCCTTTTTGGAGCTGGTTCAAAGGCAAACCAAAGGAAGCCCACCGGTTTGCTTGGTTGCTGTTGACCCCCCTGCAAAAAGTTTAACTTTTCGGGGCTTTAGTAGAAAACACCATTATTTCATCCCAAAAAGTTAAAGTCTAAAGATCCAACCCAATAGCAGTCAAGTTTGGGGGTCCCCCCAAAAAAGACACGCCCGACTCAACCACTGAGCTTCGAAGGCAACCTGTGCCCAGGGAACATGGGTTGCCATAAGTGAGACTAGCCCCAAGTTGAGACTGGCCCTTCAAAAAGAATGAAGCTAAGTCGAGACTAGCCATGAAACGGAGTAGGGCATCCTCTAAAGCACTGTTGTGAGTGGCCAGCTTGTTTTCTAGCTCATTCGAGTTGAACTTGTAATCCATTTCCGCTTTGCTCAAACACCCCAGGGACATTGCGGAATCGAAGGGCGAACCGAAACCCCGCACATGAAATTCAAGCAGGGGCTTACCACTCACCCAATTAGATCCCAAGTGGACTCATGGGCCTTCAAAGGGCCAGTTTCACGTATCCAGATTCTCCTCTTAGATTTGTTGTTGAAGAAACTCAAATTGATTTTACAAACAGCCACCAGCCACCACTCCTCCAAAACCCAACAGATCCTTGTAAATCACCTCTGAACCCACACACACACACACAAACACGCACCCAAACGCCCAAGCTTCCAACGGGAAACCTGTTGCTGCTGTTGACATTGGCTTGGCCTCATGCTTGCTCAGAACACGGCTGACACATTCGCAGTTGTGACACTAGTAGAACACACCGCGACAAATGTGTGGGATTGATTCCACTGAGACAAGTCTGCAACACAACGGAATGAAGACATGTACTACCGGACCGTCCCACCCACTCACGGGTCTATACTTCCGATGTTTAAGCTTCAAACATCGCGTTTTTGGCCCTCGGGTGAGTGTGTTTTGGGGGTGATGCTTCTGTAAATCCAAATGAGCCCCCATTAGCCCCCATTAAACGGGGACACCCCCAATCCAAGTCAACACATAACCAAGGACAAAGGATTGGCACCTGGAAATCAAATTCAACAGGGCGTGATTCTCCAGACAGATTTGCACCTGGAGTGGAGGTCTGGAGGTCTACCTGGCCGTTTTCCCAGACCGCCCCCCCATTCCCGCGCTGCAACCCCGCGCGCTTGGCTCGCCGACACCTCGCCTCAGCGATCTGCTCCCCACCGAGGCGGTCCCCGCAGAGCGAGGTGCGGCCATAGGAGCCCCAGCGGAAGATCGAGACCGCCAGGCGGCCTGCGATAGCTCGGCCCGCTTCTACCTCCAGAATTGAGAGGTTCGAATACGGATACCGACTTCTTTTCTGTTTTGTCCATTTTAGTAGGGGGTTCCCCCTCCCAACCAAAAAGGTTTGGAGAAGGGCACTGGGGGACCTAGGCTTTTTTTCCACCAGGACGACCGCAGCCGGAAAAGCGGACCGCTTCGTTTTCCGGAGCTTTTTTCTTCTTTTGTTTTTCTTTCGGAGCCGATCTGAACCCAAGGTTTTTGCTCGAGCTGAAGGACCTCGTGTGGTTGGAAAAACTTGGAATTTCCTGGACATCTTGATCCATGGCATGAGATGTTTTGACGCTAGTCGAAGAGCAACACACGAGGATCAGCCCCTCAGAGTTTGGAGGCCTGACACAAGGGGCCACAAGGAAGAAACCCCGTGAACGGTGAATCTCGACAGATGTTTCTCGAAAAAAATCGGGGGGCTCGGTTCCCCTTGGCTGGGATGTCGGATGGTTAGGAAACACCGCCAGGAAACCAAGCAGCTGAAGAGGTCCCTGATTTTGAGAAAGCTCTCCAAATGGATATTAAAGGGCTTCGGACATTTCGCCCGCTAGTAGAGAGGTTAGAATAAGGGTACCAACTTTCTTTTTTCTGTAGTCTATTTTTTGTAGGGGCCCAACAAAAAAAGTTGGTAAAAGGGCACTACTGGGGGACCTAGCCAAAAAGGTACTCTTGTGACGAGAAAATTCACGATCCGCTCTTGGCAAACAATCAAATGGGAGGCAATGGAGCCAGCGACTCGAATCGGCTCGCACCTACATCCTTCCACGACATCATGGGAACTCGCTCCTCAAATGGAAGCCTCAGGACGTTTGCTCAAAATGGACCCCCTTTTTGGATGGCAAAGCCACAAGAGAACAACCCGCATTTGGGGGGTTCCTATTTGGAGAAACAGCCATATGGCAGCTTCGCATTTAAAGAGGAGGCATACGGAAACAACCTATTTATTGATTCGTATTAAAGCCAACAGAGGTGCTGGGCGAACCGGAACATGTCACAAACCTGAAACTAGGGATCCCTAGCAAATGAATCGCGGTTGTGGGGCAAACCTATGCAGCCCACAGCCAAAAGAGCCAAACGAGTCCCCGCCACATGGCCAGGCTGTGAAGGGCTGCTCGGAGTTGCCGAGGTGACACACCACTTAGATCCGGCAAATTCGAGGGCCCCGAGAATAGTGGGTGTGGCGTGTTCCTGTAAAGCAAGCTTCTCAAACAGACACAATCACAAAGAGTGTATATACTCCTCCTGGTGAATCCGTCCGTTGCATGTGCCTTTTATGGACACTCTGGCAAAAGAGCAAACAGGCAGGCTAGGTTTGGCAAGGTTGGAGGTTTTGTGTCGGAGGATCTAGGTCCTCCAGATTTGAGAGGTTAGAATCAGTTGGTACCAACATTTTTCTGTCTATTTTAGTAATGTTGGCACTTGATTAATCAACCGGGGGTTCCCCCTCCCTTCCAACCAAAACAGTTGGGAGAGAAAGGGCACCTCAGGCCAGGAGCATCACTCGCAGGCGCTGGCCGGCGGGACTGTAGTGGGGCAAGCAGAAGGGGTAGGCCACCAGCTCCTGGCACCAAAGCCCGGCTCGCCCAACGCCCAAAATGGCCGTGGCAACCCAAAAACCGGAATTCCAAGATGGCTTGGAATTCGATCGGTAAGTGGAAGCATGGGCCAAAACCAGCGGTTTGCCCCATCCGGTTTAACTTTGAGCCACACCCAAAATGGCCTCGCTGGTGCTTTTTCCCGGCGAGCCACCCCTTCGCTTTGAACTGCGTAGCCTGTGAAATGTGGCTGATGGACTTGTTTTCCTCTGCAAAAGACTCAAACATACATGAAGATTCCACACTTTTGCAGCCTTAACTCAAATGATGAAAACAAACACCAAGCCATGAGTGGCAAGAGATTGACTTTACCAATCCATTAGCAATAGAGGATCCACGATTCCAAACCTGGCGACGCATCTTACCCATGGCGCACACAAAACCCATAAACAATTACGCACATTCCGCGTAGTAAGCCCCCCAGTACCGATGAAACACCACCTTACTTTTTTGTTGGTTGATGTCAAGGGGAACAGCCTCGAGCAAAAAAGGAAACCCAACATGTTTCAGTTCCAACCCCAGACCCCACGCCAGGAGAAAAGGGGCCCTCTCCTTTTGGTGCCGAAGAGAAAAAGTGAAAAGAGGAAAACACGGCCGCTGGAGATTGGTTAGGTTTCCCAATTAGGGACTACTCGAGGCAAACCCATGTGTGGTCAAAAACAAACTGAGTAAGGGCCGTGGAATCATTCCGGAAGGACCCTTTGGTTGTCTAAGATTCTAGGGTTCATGTTCATTTTTGGGCTCCCTATTTTGACCCGTACCCAAACATGTGTGGGGCCCGCGCTTCTTTTTGCTGGAAACCACTTCTCGGACGCCGGCCAATCATTCTCGTCCTCGTAGGGAAAACTGGTCAGAAGAAACCTGAAGTCGAAAAGGCCGTGTGCCGGGTGTTAAGCAGATCTGGGAACATGAACATTCCCAAACCCTGGTATTTTTTTGAAAATCGTGTTCTAAGCTGAGCGCCCGAAGATTGACAGAAGGAGCACCAAAACACAATGTTTCTGGGAGGGAGCTGGGGGACCTAGGCACGTTTGGGGTACCTGCCTTGAAACCATTTGTCACGTGCCATGAGAGGGAGGCTCCCCAGTTCAAGAAGAGTGCTTTCTGAAATTTCTGGCTCTCTGGCCCGCGGAAAGCACGTTGTTTCCTCCACCGAAAAAAAAGGAGACCCGACAAACGGAACACGTCTAGCAATGGGAACCCGGAGTAATAAACCCTGATTGATTTTGATTGGAGGTGTCACCTTGTGATGCGGTTTCATCACTCTTGGAGGGAACACCCCCACTATGGGATAGGTGTTTTTCATCCACGATTTGCATCTTGCTTTTCTGTTGGTTTTCTTTGAGGTCCTTTATAAAGTCCTCGTTTCTTCCCAACTGTCGCGTAAAACGCTCAAAATGGACACCTATCCGGCGAAGCGGATTTTGCTCAGTGCTCAGGAAGGTGTCCTCATACTTCCGTTGGGTTTCATCCGCTGAGTCATACTCAAACCTACAAAACTGGTCTGCCCAGAATTATGGTGGGGAGCATCCCATACTAACCTTCATCTACCCGGGTTTTTGACTGTGAGTTTGAGGGCGCCAAGCCGCATTGTCTTCAGTCCAGCTTCTGTGAAGTACTTCTCACCTCAGCGAAGCTTCCAGAGGCTGACCAGGCGTCCGATGGTCCCAAAGGTTGACCCAAATAAGGAAACAGGAAAGGAAGTTGTTTAAGCACCAGTTTTTCCTCCATTTGCTTGAGTCCCCTGGAAAAAATGAAAACATATGTCCAATAGTGGTGGATTCCCTTTAAAACCAACAACAGAACATAAAACATATTCTTAAGCAAATGGAATGCTCCACAAAACCCAGCAATGCCTTGCTCACCGTCACTTGCTGAGCAGCGCCTGGCGACCTTTTGGCGGGAGTGGGGTGAAAGCTCCAGCCAGGGACCAATCGAACTTTTTTCATGGACTCCCAGGGAAATCGCCCTCCCCCAACTCCATGTTTAAGCTAGGTCCTCCAGTAGAGGGGTTAGAGTAAGTTATTCCGACTTGCTTCTGTAGTCTATTTTAGTAGGGGAGCCCTCCCAACCAAAAAGTTAGTGAGTAGCTGGGGGACCTAGTAAGGGTGTGCGGGTAGCTGTTCAAACGATCGTTTTGCCCCTTGCCCCTTGCCATGAATTGTACCAGACAAACCAGCCCAACATCAGTGTTGCTTGAATTGAGGGTGCCTTTTGTGTTTGTAATTTTTGGGTGGACTTAAAGGGAAGCCAAAAGGAGCACCACAACTTGTTGGGGTACATACAGTACCCCAAAAAAGTGGACACACGCCCAAACTAGAGTTTCTTCATGAGAGGCAAGCTTCACCATGGAGGCTGCAAACCCTGTTGGCGAGATCACTATACAAACTGGCATTGCCATATCCGGGAAATCAGGCTGAGCATCACATGCTGGTTTCGTTGGTTGATTTTAAAGGCAACCCTTTCCCAAACAAAAGCTGAACAAAAGGGGCACCACACATATGCTCAGATTGTGTTCCATCATAATGCTTCAACCTTTATAATAACAAATCATATTGGATACCCCAATCAAGGGCAGGCCCCTTGGTAGTAAAGTTTTTGCTGCAATACCGATGAGAGCCGTGCTACTTTGTCACTTTAAGGAGCATTCCCTTGTATCGCAGTAAGCCTCCATTTGCTTAAGTCCTCTCTATAAAACCAACATAAGGAAAATACATTGACCCCTCCCGGTCGATCCCGGTTACCACGAAAGTAGGAAACCAGCAATTTCCGCTTGTCTTTTAAAGGGTGGTTCCTTTGGTCACCTGTTAATACAGGGTAATGGATCCACTGGGCCTGGTCAAAACCCACTCCCCATGGTAAGTCCAAGTGGATTCCAATCGTTACTAACCTCTCTGGCTACTGCCATACTGCCCCGCCCCCCCCCGGCGCAAAAGTTTTTCTGTTGGCAACATGCCCATGTTCCCAAAGAGTCAACATGATAACATGATCCAACCAAACAGCAAACAAGCAACCATTCGGAGAAACGTCTCAAAAATTGGAGTGAACTGTTTTCGAGCCTCTGGTTATCCTCTACAAAGCCTCCACGAAAATGGCAACTACACCCAAAAAGCTTAAAGTCCAACATGTTTCAAGGAGTGACAACAAAGACGGGTGTGGCTCAAAAATTAAAGAACTAAACCAAACCCCAGGTTTTAGCCTCAGGTTCCATTTGCCAAGGCGCCATTTTGGTTTGCATTTTTGTGAGGCATTGGCAAGACACGCCCTTTTCCACGTGTAAGGCGGAATGAAAACGGATTCGATTCTCCCGCCTCGTCCTTTGCCATCGAAGTCCGGCACACGGTAGCCGTCCACTAACGGCAGACTCGTGGTGCTCGGCTCGACGATGGTCTGAACATGAAAACAAACATCGCGGTGTCTCGGTGTGTTCTAATCTGGTTTCCCTCTAAAACCAACCACGAAAGGCTTCTCCCCAAAAAGAAATACAAACCCATTTGGGAGCGTATCAAAATGACTCGACCTCCTTGGATGGCTTTAAAGGGACGCCAAAAGGACTCGCCAATTTCGACACCCATTAAGATGTTTCTCAAGATGGTGGACCCCCTTTTGGTTGGTGTTGAAAGGGAAGCCAAAAGCACACCATCTTCGAGGACACCTGTTTTGAGTGAAACAAATATTTGCTCATTGCCTGAACGGATTGACAAACAAGCCGGAACTTGCATTTACCACGAAAATGGTCCAGACCCAAACGGCAACACGTCCAGGAACGGGAGTGCACAAAGGGCCCTGCCGGCACCCCCAACGACTGCTTGTCCAAAACCCCAAGTCGAGTCAAAATCAAAACCTGGCATAAAAATGGTCTACCCAACACCATGTAAAGAGATGAAAAAAGGCGGACATCCGCATACATTTATGGGTGGGACTATCCCTTACTATCTACATCTGGGTTTTGATGGCCCAAAACGCAGTCCGTGGGCGAAGTGCTGCCCGAGGGGCGCAGGTGTCCTCCATGGTGGACCAAATCACGTGGCGCACCCCTGGGCCAAGCCCATGGCACTTCGGCGGGGTCACTCGGTCTGAGATACACAGAAAAGAACCGAGGATACCCTCCCACCAACTAACATGCAAAAAAACCCTTTCCAAGAGGAGAGTAGTCTTTCTACAGGGGTCTGTGCACTTCCATGTTAGCTGGGAGGGTAATATCTTCTTGGGAAAGATGGTACGGAAGCCTAACATCAAATTTAGTCAGGATGAAAGAATGCGTGTGAATCCAATTGATCAGCGTACACGACCCCAAGGCCCCTTCGACAGTGCCAACCAACTGGTCTTTGGAACCCATGAGCTTTGACCTGAGGGGTCCACTAGGGAGAATCAGACCAAAAACCAGAAGCCCAAAGGATAGGGTGTGCCCTTGCAGTGCTCTGAATGATTTTCTTTGTGGCTGCAACAAGTCCTAACCTATCACATCCCCCTCTTCAAGTGGATGTATGGCAGGGGGAGAAGGAAAGCAACAACCAACAAATGGTTGCAAGAACAAAGGGAGGTGAGACAAGTATTCTGTCAGTCAATACCTTCCATGGCCGTTTTTCCCAGTCCTGGGCAACATCGGCCAATGTAATCAGTGTTCGTTCTTGCTCCTTTCTTGGGGATTTGATTTTGGGTTCTTGTAGGTATCATATGGACCCCCATGGACACGAGGCTTTGCCGCCAACCCTCCAATGACGCCCCCCGCCTCCCCCCCAAAAAAAACAAGAAGAAAGACAGTGTTCCCTTTGAGCTTCCTTTTCACACTGCAAAACAAGGGCTACCAACTCCAAAGAAGGACACCCCCCCATACAATCTAAGAGTGCCTGCCCCATAATCATGCCTCCCGTGTTTCCCCGCGTCTCCCCGTGTCGGCCGTTTGGAGCGCTTTCGGGCTCTCTCTTCGGGCCGCCAGCTTTGTAGGCCGCCGCCGCATAGACCTTGGCAGCCGCCTGGTCCTAGTCGGGGAGTGGGGGGGGGTTGAAAGGGCGGGTTTTGTGGGTCGTGAAGATCACTCCTTGGGGTTGATCCGTATTCCCTTAAAGGCCCCCAACTTTGCAGGAGGAGTGGTGGTTGACGAAGATTTCTGCATATGGGTATGGGTCAACTTTTGTAGCACCAGGGGACCGCAGGTTTTAGTCCATGCATGTCCATGCTTCCATTTGCCAGGGCAACCCATTTTGAGTACCTTTTGTTGACCCACTCCCATATTCCCTCAAAGGCCCCCAAATGACCATGGGGATTAATATTCCGGGAGTGGTTGATCAATATTCCTGGTCTTCGAGAGTGAGGGTTGATCAATGTTCTGCCAGAGGCTCCCGAATGATGGGGAACGTTTCCTGTGTGGGGAAAGGAAATCCTCCTTTTTGGGTGGTTTCCCTGATGGCCATCCCATGTATCACGGACCTTTTGATCCACCCCCATGTGTCCCTTTTGGAAAAATAGATGGCGCCGGAAACTGGAATAAAACTAATGTAAATCTGTGCCATCTATTGCTAACCAAGTAGACCTAAAAAGGAACACCACCTATGTTCCCTTCTCACAAACACCCAGAAATGTCCATAAACTCTCATTTTGTGAAAGGACAAACCATGGCTCACTTCCGATTGAGTGGATTGGCCAGAAAAAATATACTTTGTCTACAGCTAAAATGGTCCAAAAATGAAACCAATTGCAGGAACTCAGAGAGCGAGTTTAAACAAGTAATGTTGACCCCTAAAAAAAAAACCCAACGTTAATCACGAGTGTCAGAGTGGAAGATGTGATTCAAACTAAATAGACCAAAACAAGAGGTTTGTTTTTTTGGGGGGGGTTCGGGCCCAAAAGGCCCACAACCCCCCCCATGTTTTCAGATCGGAATGAGAGCCAAAGGAACTTCTTTGGCCCCATGGTGCGCGGGCCACATGTTTGACGCGGACATGCTGCTGACTTGCCTCTTGGCTTTCTGCAAATTCCAAAGGCCCCTAAAAGCTAAAGAGGGGGGGGTTTTCCTGCTCTAACACGGCCGTGGAAGACAGTTGGCCGGCGTGCCTTTGGCTAGGCCCCTTTAGAGTCTTTTTCGGGAGCAACTGCAAATATCCGACGAAACGCGGACTCCAAGACGACATGCAACCAAAGAATCCCAACACAAACTCCAACTCAGCTGCCCAATTACTTGGTTAAGACCCCTGGAAAAAAAAACACATATTTCCAGTAGTGATAATTTCCTTTTAAAACCAACAAGGGTAAGCAAATGGAAGATTGGGACCTAAAAATTAGAAGGTGATCCCCTTTGGGACCTTTACGAGCAGTGGCCACCGAAAGGGTCAGATCACTTTGGGCCTCGAGCCTAAGCTGCCGGATCGACACCGAGCTGCATTGAGTGGACCTCCTAGGTCCTCCAGTAGTAGGGATTAGAATAAGTTGGTACCCGATGATTTTCTTTTTGTCGATTTTAGTAGGGGAACCCTCCCCCAAAAAGTTGGTAAAAGGCACTACTGGGGGACCTAGCCTCCCTTCTCACTTCCCATCGACTGGCCAAACTTTTTGTGTGCCAGGGAGACGCTGCTAGTCTTCAAAGCCCTCTGGTCCACTTCCATGACTCGCTTGGGCAACCCGACACAATAGAACTTTTTGGCATATTCCGCCCAAGCAGTGCATGGATCCGTCCTGCGCGGCGCTATCCCCCTCTGCCACAAAGTAGGCTC